TCTCCTCCTCACTCCCTATTCTATTCAAACATTCTCCCTGTCGCAGACCCAGACGTGTCGGTAGGTCAGGCCGGGGGTTGCGCTGGAATTTTCCTCAAACTTAGTGATTCTGCATCTTGGGGTAACATGTTCAGGGATGGGAGGGTGGATTTTCAAAATATGGCTCGCGACTTAGCGCCGCGCACATTCGTCACACAAGTTTGCAGCCGTTTGTCGGATGAAGGGGGGCGTTTTCAAGAAGTTGCTCACTTCAGCGCGCACATTCAGTTCAAAAATTGCAACGCCCGCAAGGATGGAGAACGGTTCATTCTCAAACTGTGTCGCTTTCTCTGTCCCTTTCTATCTCTCTCTCTCTCTCTGTTTCCCCTGAGCGCCACGCACATTCGTCTTACAAGTGTTCACCAGCTTCAGGGATGGAGGGCGGTTCCTTTTATGGCTTTCTCCGTAGCGACGCGTACCTTTGTCTTCGCGCGAGAGCATTGCAGCAGCTTCGCGGATGGAGGAACGATCCTTCACAAAATGTGGGCCTCGCCTTTGCGCCGAGCACATTCGCTTAAAACGTTCGCAACAGCTTCACGGATGGAAGGCGATTCACTGTCATGATATGGCTCTTGCCTTGGCGCCGCGTGCACTCGGCTGAAACATTCGCAGCAATTTTATGGATGGCGGGGGCACTTTCAAGAGGCGGCGCTCGCTTTAACGCCGCGGAAAGTTGTCTTCAAACTTTGAAGCACTTTCAGGGACGGAAGGGGTGGTGTTCAGGCGGGTACTCTCGCCTTAGCGCCACGCACATCCGTTCTATTTTGTGCGCTAGCTCGACGGGTGGAAGACGATTCATTTTCAAAAGTGCGGCACCGACCTCACCGCCGCAATCGTGCTGCCCGAAATCTTGCCACGTGTGCAATGAGTGAGCACTTGCTGGCTTCAAAACGAGGCTCTCGCTCCAGGGCAACGCGCATTCGTAGTGTAACGCGACGTTCCGTCGGATGGAGAACTACTCGTTTTCAAACGCCGCCGACCCTGCCCAGGTGTGTGAGAGGATTTTTCGTTTGAGCCGTCGTCGTCATCGTCGTCGTCGTCGCCGCTCCCCCCCGTGACGCTTTCTTCGTTGGCGTCGTCGTCGTCATCGTCGTCATCGCTCGGCCCCTTTCCCCGGGCCCTCCTCGTCAAGCTTTCCATCCAAAGGGCAACCGAGCAACGTCGCAATCGAGTCGACGGGAAGCCCCTTCCCTTTGATCCCTCCCCCGCCAGGGGGGGGGGGGAGTCCCAAGGGGGGTGGGAGGAGGGGTTCTCCCGGGGGCTGTGACCTCCCCCCACCAGGGAGGAGCACCCTTCCCTGGGAGAAGCTTTGATTCGGTTTCTTGCCTCCCAGGCGCTTCGAGCTCACTGGCACCGAGGCCTGCTCCAAGGCCACTCAGCAGCGCAAGATCGCTCCAAGATGGCCCACGATACCCTCAAGACGGGCTCAGAAACATCCAAGACGCCCCAAGGGGGCTCCAAGAGGCCCCCCAAGAAGGCCCCAAAAGGTGAGAAACATGGATTATCATTTGGTTGTTCTATGCTTTTCGTGTCCTCGCCTTCTCCTCGTCGTCGTCGTTGCCGTCGCCGTCGTCGTTCCGTCGTCGTCTTCGTTGCCGTCGTCGTCGTCTTCGTTGTCCGTCAGGGTCGGCGGCACCGGCCGTAAGGACTTAGCAAAGAATTCTCGCTTGAGACGCCGATGAGTTTGAAGACCCGCAATTTTAACGCTTGTAGCTCTGCACGGGTCCACGGCAGCTCTTTTTCAAAATGGAGCTGTCGCTTGACGCGTCCTTTATGTTCATGGTCACACTTGTAAACTTGTGCAATTGTTAAAAGGATGGGGGGACAGTCCTTCTTCGAAAGTGGGACTTCGCTGGACACCTCGTTGAACTGTAGGGTCAGTGTCGTTCGTGCCCCTGATTCCGCAAGGCAATTCCTGTTCACAGCGGGTCCTTCGCCGACATGGCAGCCCCAACTGTGCTGGATTTGCAAAGTGGGCGCTTCTTGACGTGAGAAGGAAAACTTCTATGGGGCGTAGGAGTACGGAACTTTGGGCGGGCGAGTGTATTACAGCATCGTTTATGCACTTCCAATTCCTTACACGTCCATCATCTGGCACGCGCAGGGGCAAGTCGAGATTTCATTGGCACAAGTGCAAGGAGGTACGGGGGTAGCCTGGGGGGGGATCGACAGGAAAACGGGGCATAGCCAACGTGAATCGTGGAGTGTGTCTCCCCTTGCGCTGGCAAGCATTGCTTCAACTCAAACACATGGAGATGGACAGTCCGTCTAACGCACAGCCAAGCGGTCTGTACAGCTGGCGAACCAGGAGATCAGGAACCAAGCACGGGCAAACCACATGACAGCACCACGGGACAACCTCTGCACAACCACTGGGCACGCCCAGGAGCCACGTGCTGGGCAGGCAGACCAAACCCACCGCACCGAACGCGAAACAACCATGGCACAACCACGCAACAACCGCATCCCAGGGAACAGCGCGCTGGGCCCGCGGACCAGGATGCTGACTGGCATGGCATGCCCCTCGCCAGACAAACGTCTCCCTCGCTCTGGCGCCACTCTGCGCCGCCCGCGCGCACGACACGAACCGACACCGAACGCGCCAGAACGGCTGGGGATGCGCTCCGTTGCAATACGGCCTCGCCCTCCCAGCCTCCGATCTCCCTGCATACTCGTCTTTCCTCTTCTGTTGCACACCGCTCTTCCGCTGAGTACGCTGCCTCTGCTCTTCTGGTACTGATGCTGTTCGTTTCTTCTCACCCGCATTCATTGTTCTGTGCACCATCTAGATACAAACGCCCCTTTGTCATCATCGGTTCCGCATTACTTCCGTCCTCTCGCACGCCCTCTCCCAAGCCCATGTACATCTTCAAAATCGATCGTCCTTCAATGTGTTCCTTCTACGCTTCAACTGTAATACGGTGTCGCGTCTGGCCCCCCAACGGCTGCAATATGCACGAACAACATAGCACTGGCCTGAATTTGACAGAACCCCCGTCGCCAAGACCCAAGCAGAAGTGCGGACTGGGCCGAGGCCACGGGAGAGGATGTGTCCACCCCTGCACCAAACAACAAGGAGTGCCTGTCACACTTAGTGACGATCCCATTGAAATGGAGCGCAGGGAAGGACTGAGGCAAGTAGACCCACATGGTGAAGACAGCATTTCAGAAGCAGGTCAGCTTTCAATCATCAAGCTGACCATGGGCGTGTTCAGCGTGCAGGAGTACTGCATTTGCTTCATGTACCCACCAGGACCTCGAACAGCGATGCCAAACAATGATCCCCGATGCTTCACCCATCATTTGCAATAGCCATGAGCCAATTCACCCCGAGGGAACACAAAGAACTGCCGCGGGCGTTACACGACCTGCACTCAATTTTTACTTCGATTTCTATGACGCGCGCTCCTAGACATACCGTGCTGTAACCCACCCTACGCGACAACACAACACACGAACGAATCAAACTGAAAGGTTGAAGCTAAAAATGCTCCGACTAAGGGTCGCGAATGCTACCCATTACCTTCCGGGTCAGGGGCCACCTTTCCAAGGTGGTGCTAACGATTCTTAGTGCACGGCCATGAGTGAAACCATTTGCTTTCTGATGAACTGCAGTAGGGGACATTTGCCGCATCAGACGCACGCTGGAGGACCGTTGTTTGACACGTGCCGGACGCACGACAGACGACAACGGACCTTATAATCTCACAAATGCACCCTGGAGCTGCAGGTCCGCTGCTGCCAACATCGAGGACCCTGGTACTGAAAGCTCGGGCTGGCATCTAACGCGCCCGAGGAGGCCAAAGCGAGTCCTGGCTAGGAACGGTTTCTGTGACACGGTGTGGGCGCCTTCGTGGCCCATATCCATACCCTTTTGCGCAAGCCTTCAAAGAGTCTTCCTGCAAAGGTCATGGTCGAACGGCCGTGCGCGGTCATCATTGACCATCAAGCCTATTTCAGAGATGCGTGTTGAACATACGTGGGCTAATCAGATGGCCAACCAACAACAAGAGACACGTCTGCCCGTGAACAGCCAGGGGGGGAGGAAGGCAGATCACATGGATGCAAAATACTCATTTGTGTACAAGGCAGCAGGTATCTGCAAGAACGCACATTCGTTCAAGCGGTCACTTCAAATACCCAAGCCTGTTCGCAAGTGGCCCTGGTCGCTGTCGTTGCCCGTGAGCCTCCAGTACCCGGTGACAGCCAAAAACTTCGGCAGTCCTTCCACGCTTGCGGATGCAACAAGGTGAAGACAAGAAATTAGACGGGGTCGACATCGGTACAAGCTGCATGGAATCATCCCCCCAATCAAATGAGCTTCCTCTTCGAAACGGTTTTCTCGCAGGCGAGGTCGCACCAGCTGGCACAGACATCGTAGCGACGCGCTGCGATGGTGGTCCAATCCATAGCCTGATACATTTCTGCACCCTGTGGCCCTCAAGAGTTCTGGGGGTACATGTAGTCTGGGGTCTGGGGAGGGTACATGTCGTCTTGGGGAGGGTACCTGTAGTCCAGAGGGGGGTACCTGTTAATAGAGGCCTCATAGATGGGGTCCGAGTAGATGGGGTCGAAGGATCGCGCCGCATCGCAAATAAATCGCCGATGCATCGGCGACGTCGGCGATGCATCGGCGACGTCGGCGAGGAGAACATCGAGCTGCACATCGAGCCGCACCGCCGATGCATCGGCGATACGGCGCGATCCTCCGACCCCATCTACTCGGACCCCATCTGGGAGGACTAGATACAGGTAGTCTGGGGTGGGCGATTGCTCCGAACATCCTGGCGTGCCGCTGCGGCTCAGAGGGGACAATTGTTGGCCTCGGGGGCTCCTGCAGCCTCGGGGGGGGGCACGTGCAGCTTCGGTTAGGTCGGGCATGTCCCCCTACAGGAGGATTTTGGACAAATAAAAAAATAGCCCCCCCAAAAAACTAAAAACAAATATATTCAAACATGTTATTTTAAACATGTCCCCTGACTATTTTTACTATTTTTGAATAATCGTCCTGTAGAGGGACATGCCCGACTTAAAGCTTCGGAGGCGTACCCGCAGTCCAGGGGGGGGGTCCCTGTAGTCCGGGGGGCGGGCCGCTGGGGTGGGGAGTAGGGTACCTGCAGCCTGGGGAGAGGATACCTTTAGTCCGGTGGGTACCCGCAGTCCTGGGACCTAGAACTATTGAGGGACACAGAGTATCCTGAACTCTTCTGGCCACTAGTCATGGCAACGCTGCGAACTCATAGCGGGTGACGACAATTAGAGCCTGGCAGGGTTCGACTTGAGGACTGGCTCTGAAGACAGCAGCAGCCCACTGACTCAAATAGCTGTGGGTTTGGCTCTAGTCGATTTGAGTGGGCCGCCATCGACTCAAGGGTAAGAGGGCGATCCCCCATTGGAAGCACGAGAACGGACGAAACACGTCCAAGTCCCTCCTCGCTCTTCATCCTACCCCCCCTCGCATGCAACCGCGGTCATCATCCTCCTCCTCCTCCTGCTCCCCCCTTCCTCCGGGAGACCTCCGCAGACATCTGGCAATCTCCCCCGAGGCCTCCGCGCAGGTCCCCGAAAGTCTCTGTAGCTGGAGGCCTCGGAGGCCTCTACAGACTTCTGGAGGCCCAAGAGGGGCCAAAAACGTCCAAAAACCTCGACCCTGGAACCTCGATCGTCGAACGTCAATCAGCCCATGGAACCCTCCCGGGGTCCCTGGCAAATTTTTCGAGCTGCGTCCAACCGGCGACGAACACCTCCGGAAACGTACAGAATGCTTCCGCAGCGAAGACGTCGTCGTCGCCGCTCGGATCTTCGAGCCTCGATGCTCGAAACTGGCTGACCTCCCCTCCGCCGTCGCCCCTCTGGAACGCGAGTGCCGCGCCGGCGAGCAGGGCGCGTCCTGAGCCGCCACAGCGAAGCGAATGCAGCCGTGGCGACGAGTGCGCCACAGTGCGCCCGAGGGCCAAGAGATGGAGGAGGGGGAGGATCAGGATCAGGATCAGGATCAGGAGGGGGAGGAGGAGGAGCGGGAGGAGGAGGAGGCGGAGGAGGCGGAGGAGGAGGCGGAGGCGGAGGAGGCCGAGGAGGGGGTGAGGAGGAGGAGGAGGAGGAGGAGGAGGAGGAGGAGGAGGAGGAGGAGAGGAGAGAGGTGAGGAGGAGGGGGAGGAGGAGGAGGACCGAAAGCCCCGCCTCTGAAAGGGAAGGCCCTCCGATCCTCCCCTCAGCGCCATGGAAACCCCGCCCGCTGCCCCCAACCCCCCTCCGCACCCCCCTGGCGTGCAGCGCGAGATGCCCTCCGCTCCTCCGTCGCCCGCCCGTAGGCCTCCTCCGCCCAGAGGCCCAGCCCATCGTCCTCCTCCTCCTCCCCCTCCTCCTCCTCCTCCTCCCCCTCCTCCTCCTCCTCCTCCTCCTCCTCCTCCTCCTCCTCCTCCTGGTCCTAGCCCAGAGGCCTAGCCCAGAGGCCTAGCCCATCCGCCCAGGAGCCCGCAACCGGCAAGAACAGCTCGTGGACCTCTTGCCTTCAGAGCCCCTTCCCTCCTTCGTGGCGACTCCTGTGATCGCCATCGGGGGGACGAGAACAAAGGGGGATGATTACAGAGAATCGGCCGTAGGCAGCCAGGTCTCGGCGCCCAGAGCCGACAGGAGCGGTCCTATGCCAAGTCAGCTGTATGAGGCAGGCTTGACGCCTTCGGGCGCTCCAGGGAAGCGTCCTGGCGGGCACCTTCGGGAAGCCCCAGACAGCCTGGGAAGCGCCCTGGCAAGTACCCCCTCGGGCGCTCCAAGCAGGGGTCCTGTCATGCACCTTCGGGCGCTCCCGCGGCATCATACTCGCTGGTCACCGCCCGTCTCTTCGGGGCTCCAGAACCGTGTGGTGACGGACAGCGTGGTGACCTCGGAATCCCCAACGACCTCACCGCGCGGTCCGTCACCGCACGGCTTCGGGATCTCCGAAGCCCCAATCACTCGAGACACCCTCGAATAACTACCCCGAATCCCCACTAAACTCACCACACGGTGTGCTAACCCTACCGTTTTCAGCGAGTTTCGGCCGTGACCAGGGATGCTCCCCCTGCACCCCTCTCCTGGTCACATCACGGTTCGGGCCAGCGCCAGTTGGGAATTGCTGGGGGTAGCTGAACTCCCAGACGGCGCCGGCGCGAACCGTGACGTCACTGGCCCCCTCGCCCCCCACCTTTCTCGTGGGGGGGGGGAGGGGGAGGGATGGGGAGGGGGAGGGGGATGGGGAGGGGAGGAGGAGGAGGAGGAGGAGGAGGAGGAGGAGGAGGAGGAGGAGGAGGAGGAGGGGGAGGGGAGGAGGAGGAGGAGGAGGAGGGGAAAAAAACTGGCCTTTGGGGCGCCCGATGTTCCGTCCATCACCGGCCCTCCTGCGTCTCCGCTGCGCAGCGTGAGCGCCGCGCTGGCGGACAGGGAGGAGGCCACCGCGGCCGCCCAGAGGGCCGAGGCACCCATGCCGGGCGCAGTGCCGCGCGGGCCTCCCGCCGAAGAGGGGTTTCGGTCGTCGTCGTCGTCGTCGCCGCCGTTGTCGTCGCCGTCGTCGCCCGCGTCGTCGCCGCCGCTGTCGTCGCCGGCGTTGTCGTCGTCGTCGTCGTCGTCGTCGTCGTCGTCGTCGTCGTCGTCGTCGTCGTCGTCTTCGTCGTGAACGTCGTCGTCGTCGTCTTCGTCGTCGTCGTCGTCGTCGTCGTGGTCGTCGTTGTCGTCCTTGTCGTCGTCGTTGTCGTCGTCATCGTCCTTTTCCTCGCTTGCGAATATTCTCGGCCACGTTCGGTCCGCCAGAAGCCTCCGAAGGTCTCGCAGAGACCTCCCAGGGCCCAAGTCGTGGCCCTTGCGCGGGAACCTGTACAGTCAACCCGCACAGCAAGGACGGGCGATGCTCCCACTTAAGGGTGCCCTTGCATCCTTGCCTCCTCGGTCCTTCCTTGGCGAGTTTCGTTCGCCGCGCTGCGCTCGAATAGCTTCGAAATGGGCGTCCAAGGCCCTTGCTTCCTTGTCGCGCATCCTTAGGATGCGAGCCGACTGTGGAAGCCTCCAGAGACCTCTAGATCCGTGTGAGTCCACACGGCCCGAGGTCACAAGCAAGCTCGGGGAGGGTCAAGCCCAGCACCCACACGGAGTGATAAAGTAAGTAATAGAAGGCAGAACATCCACCCCGACAATAACCACCCCGACACGCGAAGCAGTTGAGTAAACGCACCCAAAGAAGGAATCAAACAAGGCAGGGTTGTTTAGTAAACGCCCAAGGCCGTTTAGTAAACGCCAACTGTCCTGTCCTGGTGGATGTTCCTCCCTTGAAGTAAGCAGTGCCGGAGCGACGCCGTCCGCTGATATGCAGACCTCCGCGGAGCCCAGACCTGCGGATGTCCTGGAAGCATCAAGGCCCCGGGTGTTCCCTGCCACCGGGCCTTTGGACGCTGCGTGCAAAGCTCAAGCTGCGGTCCCCCTGCAACCCGCGCGTCGCCTTCGACGCCTTCGCCACGTCCACGTCGTAAGCCTCTGCGCTCATCCTCGCGGCGTGATCTCCGTGTCACGAGATCCCTGGTGGACGTCCTGGCAAACTCGCAGGAGGGCCCTCGCAAGGATGGCCCGCAGGCCCCCCCAGGCCAGCAAACCGACTTGTGAACAGGGTCCGCACGACGGGAATTGCTTTTCAATCCCTCGCGCCGGAGGATGGCGCGTGACTGCCATGGGCGAGCAGAGAGCACGCACTGCCTCCGAGAGGGAGCAGACGTGCACGGTGCAGAGTGGTGCAGCAGTGAGCCTTGTCTCTGTGGTGCTGATTACGCCAGCATGTGCCCTGCCCCAGGGCCCAGGCGACCTGGTCTTGGGATGGAGTCGGCAGCTTGCACCGCCTCCTGCATTGAGACTGCAAGTGTGCCCCACTCGAGGCTCTCGCGGACATGCTTGCAGCTGCCGATCGGCCCCCTCCGCTTCTCTGGGCCCTGGCCGTCGTTCGCGTCTCGGGCCCTCGCCAGTCCTTCTTCGTCGCTCTGGCGGCCTGTCTTTTTGCATGGAGCTGGGGATCGACATCTTGCGCCGAGCATGCCTGCCTCCTTCTGGCGTTAGGTCGGGCACATCCTCCTACAGGTGCATTTTGGACGACAAAATAAAACATACCAACAACATTTTCAAGACATGTCAAAATAATGAGCAAAAAACGTCCCCTGACAATTTTTTGGCTAGTTTTGATTTTTGAATGTTCCTCCTGCTGTAGAGGGACATGCCCGACTCAATTCTGGCGACTGGGTGCCCGTTCCAACCCCAGCCTCTTCCGTGATGCACCTCAGTGATGCTGGCGTCCCGCCGCCGCCCCCAGAGCTCGAGAACTACGGTCTAATCATGCGCGCGGTGCTCTGGTGAATGCCGAGCGGCCGCCAGCAACCTGCTACTGTCAGACGCTATGTGTCGCCGCTCCGCTTGTTCTGAACGCGCCCAAGGAGACGACGTCGACGCTGCGGCGGGCCCCACGGCGAACCTTGCGTCCGAGGCGGCATTCGTCCTCGTGGTCGCCGCGCCCTCCCCAAGACGTGAGGCCGCGCGTCGGAACAATGAAGCAGTAGGCAAAGGAGCACGAAAAATCGTACCCAGAGACTATTCTCGAACCATTCTTGAACATGCCCCCCGTAGAGGGACATGCCCGACCTCAAACAAGCAGCGCGGCGACCTATCTCAGCCTCGTCCGCGTACTCTGCCGCCTGCCGAGCTTGATTGCCGCATGGCCGTAGCTTCTCTCAAGAGGAGCCCTTGTGCAAGGCCAGCGCTGGAGACCTCCTCGAGGCGGCGGGGCGAGCGGCGCATGTGCGGGTATCGTGTGTGTGGACCACTCCAGTGCGCTTCGCCTCCTTCTGTTATGCTTCCTCGTCTCCCCTCTCGTCTCCTCGCTCCTCCTCCTCCTCGTCCTCCTCCTTCCTGCTCCTCTCCTCTGTCTTCCTCTCCTTCCTTCTTTTCCTTCCTTCCTGCTGCTTCCCCCTCACTCCTATCTCCTTTCTAACCTGGTTCCTGCTTCCTCCTGCCTCCTCCCCTCTCCTCCTCCTCCTCCTCCTCCTCCTCCTCCTCCTCCTCCTCCTCCTCCTCCTCATCTTTCTCCTCCTTCTCCTCCTCATCCGCCGTTCCTTGTCTTCCTCTCTAACCCCTCCGATTGACACGGGCAGGTCCAGCTGCTCGAAGTCTGCGCCCGCGTGCCGAGGAGCCGTTGCATGCGACATCCGCCAGAGCATGCCCCATGATAGCCGCCCCGCATCTGGACCGAAAGGATGACGCGCTGCGGTCGCGGGAACTCGGGGCGAGCTCCCGGAGAACTCACCGGGAAGCCTCCGCGGGCCTCTGGGTCGCTCACGCCTTGTGGTTTCCGTTTTTGACAGGCCGCACACAAACTTCGGAGGCCGAGGACGAGAACGAGGACGCCGTGGTGAGCCTCAAACCTCTTGCCTGCTCCGTCGCCTCGTCCTCCCTCGGCAGGGAGGGAGGAGGAGGAGGAGGAGGAGGAGGAGGAGGAGGAGGAGCAGGAGGAGGAGGAGGAGCAGGAGGAGGAGGAGCAGGAGGAGGAAGACGAGAGCGGGGACGCCGCAGTGAGCCTCCAAAAAACCTCGGAGGCAGGCCTCCGACGGCCTCTCGCGGGTCGCCGCCATATGTCGGCCGCACGGCACTTTTGCTGAGATGGACGACGCGGGCGGAGCCCGGCCTCTCCGAGGGCCTCTTCTGATCGTCGCGGCACGTCGGCCGCATGGAACTGTTGTTGGTCTCGTCATCGCTCGGAGGTCCATTTCCCGTGCATTTGTCGCTCTCGTGCGTGTGCTTTTTCACCCGAGGCGTCCCTTCCTCGTGCCTGTCTTTCGATTTCGTGCGTGTGTGGCTTCTTTGCCCGACGGACCAAAATGCTCCCCGATGGTCCTCGCCGAGAGAAAACACGCACGTGTCCGAGCGACGTGCCAAGTGAAGGGCACGGCGGGCAGCCCGACGTCAGGCGCAGGCCTCTGAGGGCGTCTTGCTCGTCGCCGCACGTCGGTCGCCTGGTTTCTCTGGCAGGGATGGGCCTCCAGATCTCGGAGGCGGGCCTCCGAGGGCCTGACGTCGGGGGCGGCCAAGAGGGGGGCGTCCAAGAGGAGGGGGCGCAAATCATGGCCGCGCAGCCCCGTGGGGGGGGGGCGGGGAGGTCATGCAGCAAGAAGAGGCGCCATGAAATCTGGGGAGATGGCATGGCCCCCGCCATGATATCCCCCCCCCCCCTAGGCAGCCCCCCCCCCCCGCTCTTGGTCGCCCCCGACAACGTGTGATCGTCGCCGCGTGACCGTCGCGTGAGATTCCCGTCGGTCGGAAGAAGTAGGTAGAAAGATGAAGTAGGACGGCGTTGAAAGTAGACTGGGTTCCGTCCGCCCCCTCAAGGAGGACGGAAAAGGCGAAGCCACTCGATCGTTGAAGCAGGAAGGCGCTTAAAGTAGACTGGAATCTGGGAACCCAGAAATACAACGGCCGAGGGGTAGTTTCACCAGGATCTGGCGGGCTCCCGGATGCAGGATGCCGCCGCCCGACCCAAAGATCCGACGTCGTGATTTTGTCAATACGGGGTCCCCGGAAGTCTCGACCCATTCCCCAGGATGGGTTTTTCATCCTGAGTCGTTTTTTGACGGTCCCGAGGCCCGGCGAGGGCCCCTAGGAGCCGAAATTTGAGAAAAAACGCCGTCTTGATTTTTTCAATGCGTTGGATCTCTGGGGATGCTGGGGGCCGTCGCAGCATGCTGTCGGCGAGGCATTTTTTGTTGAAGAACTCGGGGCGGGCGCTTCCGCTTCTCTCGGCGGCGCCGGCCTCCGAGGTCCGAGGACCTCTCGTGACCGCCGCCGCATGTGTTTTTGTGGCGAGCGGCTCGCTCCCCTCCCCCCCCATCCGCCTCTTTCGGCCGCCTCCTTTGCCTCTCCCCTCCCCCCCTTTTGGGTGACCCAGAAGGGGGTCCAGCTGAAGGGGGGTGGTGCAGTAGATCTGGCGCAGTTGTATTGCAAATGTCTTGCGCTGGAGACTTGTGTTGCATTGCATTGCAAACAGTGCATTGCACGCGAAAGTCTAGCAATACCTACATTTGCGCCCCGGAATGTCTTGCGCGCCCCAGATGTATGGCAACCCCACAAACCGATTGCACCAAATCTATTGCACCCCCCCTCGCTGCCGACGTAAACAGTTTTTATGCGGCAAGCGCGGGGGGTGGAAGTGAGAAGGAGAGTGCCTCCTCGGAAGGCGGCGGGACTTCTCAGAAGCCCTCGCGCCTTCTGAGGAGTCGTCTGTGCGTCTCCGGGGAAGGCTTAGAGAACACTTCTCAGAAGGCCGGGGCACCTCGGAGACTTCTGAGAAGACCTTCTCCTTCTCACCTCCCCCGGGGCCCGCCGCCGAATGCTGGCCGGACTGTCTGTCGATGAGGGTGATGGGCACCCGGAGCCCTCGCGCCTCCCGTGGCCGCTCTGCTGGC